TAAAGAAAGCCATGGTTGATTTTATATGATAATCGACAGCCGTGATTAGTCCCGCCAATCAAATAGATTATATTAAGTGTTATATCATGATGGTGGATGATGACATACTGGGTGGGACAAGATATTTCGGATTCAGCCTTTTTACCTATCATTTTCTTCTGGATGTAATGGCCATCCGTTTTATTAAATTGAAAATGGACTTTAGTTTTGGAATGTGAATTGGGAATCAAAAGCATCTCTTGGGACCACTTGATTAGGACATCGCATCGACCACGACAAAAAAATTCCATGACTTGTTAGATGGGTCATTGACGTGACTTGCTTTTTAAGGGTTGACGGTCTTTGCGTCCGCTCTCGATTTACACGGTAACAACTTGTAGACCAAAATAGTATTAATGTTAGAATGTATCCAAATAGCCGGTTTCGATAGAACCCGCGTGACATCTACATAGAATAAATCTTTTTTAACATTCCAAATTCATTTTAGATACACGCACTAGGTTCATGTAAAGATACCTCAATCGAACCAATGCAACCTTTTGCTATTATGTTTATCCATGTTGAGATATTTTATTCAAGCAGCAAGCTAGTATTTTTTTTTTTTTGGGGTCTTTTACCATAGGAAGGCAAGTCGAAAACTTTTGAATCTAGCGCCAAAAAAAGAAAAAATTTGATCCAGAATATCATCTGATCAATATATAGGAAAAATTTCCGTCCGAACTATGGCATCCGTAGATCATTTAGTTGACATTTTCCAGCTCTATGACAGCAAAGTCTCATTATCTTGCTGTCATTCTTATTTTATAATTCTACTGCTTTGAAATTTCTTGGGTAAATAAATGGAAACATAAAATAAAAAATAAAAAAATCCAGCCTCCTCTCCTCTATGGTCTGCTTGGTTGACTACAAACATCAAATTGGGATAGAGTATGCACCCATCACAGCTTGGAATTTGGGTCAGATACATAATTTATAGTCAATAGAGTTTAAAATGAGAACTGTCTCTATGCATAGCTTATCCACTTGGAATTTGTGTATTGATAGATCAGCACGGAACCAGCTGAACTCTAATGTACAATACACGAAAAAAAGACAGATTGTGGGTTGACTTCAAGCAGAGATACTGATAATTTAATAAGATATTTTCCGGTTCTTTGGCAATCGAAGCTGGAAGCATTTAGCTGCCATCAGCCTCCACCCTGTAGACCGATTCAACATGCAAATGGCGTTGACCACTTTGGATGGGTGACTGGGTTTTGTGGGTGGTTTCCGCACACATGATAAGTTTGTGTACTATCATGTTCACTGTGACAAATTACAGCACGATTCGGGTTGCTGAACATATAAAGTTTAGAATGGAAATAATATCTGGTGCAATTCCCTTAGGTCGGCCAAGATAGTGAACGATATGTTATAGATATTTAGATATCTTCTACAGATACTTAGGATATTTATTTTGATTATTCATATCTGATTTGATTTCGTTTGATTTAGTCTTCATGTACTCTTTTGAGTCTTTTCTATATATCGAAATATACAGAAAATTCTCAAATTAATTATTCCGCTTCATTATTATCAACTGTGATCGAGGCCTCGTTATTCATGAAAAGTATGAAATATTATATTCGACTGATTTCTACTTGGCACCACATGCAATGCGGTTCATGCCTCGACAAGAAATCCCCTTCTTGAGCCCGACTTGTCCATCTCGACCCTTAGAGACCCAATCGATTCTGTATAAGAACATTTGAAAAGTTTACTTAATCATGTATGGATTTGAGTAAGAGTCTTTTTAATCATGGTTCACACCACCAAACCGCTAGTGATAGGTAGGTAAGTATTCACACTTAAAAACAAATTTGGTCTTTTATGCAGTCGAATGCAACACAAAATAAAAGATGGTTCATGTTAAACGAATTTAATAATTTAGAATGGAGTTAGAATAATTGCATCATTTCCCTCTACTTTAGAATATACAAGAATGTCATGTTTATACAAAGTAAACACCTCTCGATAGGCAATATAAATAAATGAAAAGGATGTCAAGGCAAGAATCATGCACATTTCCTCTTTGGTCTGTCGTGTCCTCACCTTAAGTTATGGGTCTCCAAGTTGCACGAATAATGCTAGATGATTGAAGCCTATTCTTTAGCTTCACATCTTCTACATTACTTTGAACAGATTCCTTCACCCTATATGTGTTGCCTGATATAAACACCATTTACCATGTGCCATTCTAGATATATGATTGATAAAAATGAAGTCCCACTCCTTGAGATTATCATAGCACCACTTCAATGTCATAAATTCGAGCCAAATTAGCGGTTGGATATCAATTTCTACCCGGGTTTATCGGGTTAGGGCTCACTTGGAGAATGCCCCCGATTAATGTGAGATCAATGCATATAAGCTATTAGATCTTGCGCATCTCACATTGTTTTCTAAAATTCAACGGTTAACATGCAATAGATTCACATGAATTGGGTTACGATAATGCTGATTGTAGCGGGGAAAAGTGCCAAAAGTCCCAATGGCGCTTTTTGCGTTAGTGCGTTGGAGTTAACTTAAATCTTTTGAACTGTGTTAAGTCAAAACCTTTTTTAAATTGGTGCCAAATCGAGGTCCTAAACATTTTGTTTGTTGCCAATTTAGTGCTTCCAGGTCAATTTTGGCCAGGAATTTGCCCCAGTGGGAATAGCGTCATGCCGGGCGTCACACCGGCTAATACGATGAACAACTTTAATATTATTTTAATATTTTTTGAATTTTATTTTTTTCCTTTTTTTTTTTTTTCCACTTTTTTTTGGTCTCTCCTCCTTTCCTCCCGGGCTTGGCCAGTCGCTAGGACCGGCGATCGGGCCGAGGCCGGCGAGCTCGACCTTAGCCACGGCCACTCGCGAGGCGAGCCTCGCGGTCGGGGGCGAGGCTCCGAGCCCTCGCGAGCGCAGGCTGCATGCGAGGCGAGCCTCGCCATGGTCGCGAGGCCCGACCTCGCCGGATCTCGGCGAGGTCGAGCCTCGCCTGGGCGACCTCGCGATCCGGCGAGGCCGCCCGCTCGACCATGGCGAGGCTCGAACCCTCGCCGGAGGCCGCGACGAGGCCGGCCTCGCTAGATCCGGGCGAGGTCGAGCCTCGCCCGACCATGGCGAGGCTCGCCCGAGCCGCGCCTTCGCCGAGGGCTCGAGCCTCGCCATGGTCGGGCGAGGCCCGACTCGGCCGTGCGAGGTCGAGCCTCGCCCGACCAAGGCGAGGCTCGCCCTCGCGTGGCCGGCGAGGTCGAGCTCGCCGGCCGAGGAGGAAGGAGGGAGAGACCAAAAAAAAAGTGGAAAAAAAGGAAAAAAAATAAACATTCAAAAAATATTAAAGTTATCCACGTCTACGCTACGCCGTCGCCGGCGGACCTGGCCGGAAGAAGGCGTCCACGTCGGAAATTCCCGTCAAAATTGACCGAAAGCGACTAAATTGGCACAAAACAAAAGTTTAGGACTGAATTGGCTCCAATTTAAAAGGTTTAGGACTTAATTAGCACAAAAAAGGTTTAGGACTAAATTGGCACCAATGCAAAAGATTTAGGACTAAATTGTCACCAAAAAAAGGTTTAGGACTAAATTGGCATTAATGCAAAAGGTTAGGACTTTTTTGGCACTTTTCCCCTATTGTAACCATTCTGGATTGACGTAATTGATTGGAGTGTTTAGGGGTTTCTTGCTCGGGAATTCGGGGGACATTCAATTGAATCCCATTATGTTCATGCAATTTGCTTTAGATCCAGGCCACCTGCATAAACTAAATCTCTTAATTTAACTATTTTTTACGACTTGTGAGATATTTCATAGACTTTCAATTAGTTGAGTCTTCACGCTCCTCCAACCCATTAATTATAATAGCAAAGGCGTTAGTGTGAGATTTCCATCCACTCTTAGAACACTTGTACAGAGCATGTATGAGTCGCGTGGTGGGGTCGTGCGTGTCTCTGTCTTCCTTTCACATTTGAGGAATGACGGGCAGATGTAAAGTTGTTGCCATGGTCGATGCGTCCTTCCAAATTAGATACTTTATAGCACTTGCTTTACTTCCTTTATTTCCGTGTGGATAACTTTATAACTTTTGCGTTAAATCACCGCCTACCTGTCAAAGAGAAAAATCACACTGGCATCGCCAGTTGATGGGTATGTCTGGACACTCCTGCACTACAACACTCTTTGACAAACAGGTCGATTAACTATCAAATCTCAACCGATGGACGACGACAATACACAAAATTGTACCTTTTAGAAATTTCCGTAGCGGTACAACTTTTCAAGTAGAGGACGAATGTCAAGTCGCCAACCTGCATAAGATTGTATTTTTGACTTGTTTGGATCGAATTGATTAAACTGGACATAGACTCGAAAGCTACTGTCACTGGCCGACATGCCACAATCAAATCTCACAAGTCCTACATGCCTTTCCGCATGTAGCACTCGGCTTTTGTTCGACCAATGTCGACTTCAAGAGAAAAAATTACTCGGACATGGCATGACTGAATGGATACGCATATGTAAGTCAGCAAAGAATCTAAACTGCCTTCAATTGAGCATCCTCTCTACTTGACAATTACCAGTTGCGATGCTGAAGCGGCACTCATATGACAGCATCAAGCTCTATTACTCACAGTATCCATACGTCGAATGGAAGGATCAATTTACATTTAACTATACTAAATTGACTTTCTTTTGTGATGATCTATAACTGCATCTCAAGTAAGACCAACTCACAATTGCAGAACCTTCATGCTAAATAACACTAAAGATACAAACTGTACATTTGTTTCATTAACATAACACAAGACTTGGTATTTCCACAAATTTCCGCATTGACGCTTCTCGCGAATAGGTGAAAACAAGGCCAAGTTGTCCGTATTGCTTATGCATCTTTCCAACGGCATACATTTTGCAAAGCTTATACCAAGGCATCGATCCAAGTTTCTTGGCTATACAATAAAGTAATCCCCTGACAACTTAAACAGAGAAATCTTCTGGTAACTTATTTGAAAGAGTGCATGAGCGAATGTCACACGCTTTTATGCCGACATTACATGATACCAGTGTAACAAATTCCACCCAACTTAAGACAGAATTAGAATAATTGTCACTAGGATATTTACAATCATAATCTTGACCGCAAAGTAGAATAACTTACTAAGCAGCTGCTTGCTGAGGTTGGACACGGGTATATCTTAACCAGTGGCACCCAATCCTCGAGATTTCGGGAGCCTGACAGCAGCCAAGGGGTTGACTATGCCCTGAGAATCCTTTCCCAAACCCATACCTTCAACAAATCCCATCTTCGCCATCATTCTGGATCCAAACCCTTTGGTATGCCTTTCAAAAGCTCCGACACTTTGAGGCGTTCTTCTCACAGATCCTCCTCTGCCACTTTGCTTTGACTTAGCGCTTTGAGATTCTGACTCCCTGTTTCTTTCTGGTTCTTTGCCAGATTCAGGGACGCTCATCCCTAATCCAAGAGATTTAGGACGCTTAATCACTTCGATGGGCGCCGCCATACCGGTGCCTCCCTTCCCCAACCCTTGGCCTTCTATGAATCCCATTTTCGCCATCATTTTTGACCCAAAGCCCCTCGTGTGTAGCTCAAATGCACCAAAGTTCTCAGAAGTGACCAGAGTCACGTGCTCCTCACTGATTTCACTGGCCCCGGGTAGATTCATGGGGCTGATCTCTGTCGTTTCAGATGGCATTACACCACTTGACACGAAAGACACAGGTTGACTGGCCAATGACACCTTTCCACTGGAACGGTTAACTGATTTCTTTAATGACTTGCTTCTGCTAGATTTTTTAGCTTCTTGAGGCCTTACCTGATTTCGACCTCCACTTGTCGTCCTCGCATGTGGGACATCAATTACCGAGAAATCAGCATCATCAACAGGTCCAATGAGCTGTGATTAGCACAACAACAATTGATTGTAGTATTTCCAGATATGCAAATAGACAACTGACCTAACTTTGTGAAACGCAGAAAAAGGCAGATTTAACAATCCTGAATGAAAACACAGCACTGATATGCATAAAGTTTCCACTAATCAGATTTAATACCTTTTCCAGTATAAGTTTATCAGTTGAAGATGGCATGCAAGTCTGTGGAGTTCGCACAACCGTCACAAATCTGGAGAAACAAGATGATAATTAGAACGTCAAAAGCTTAAAGCCTAGAAAGGGAGAAGATAGGGGAAACATAATGCCCATTAACCTTTTCTTGCCCGATCCTTGGGAGCCACTTCGCAACCGATAAATTCTTGCCAATCGTTGAACCTTATCACACAGAAAAGTTGTTATAAGTAAAAAGAGTTCTGACTTACAGAAGCAGACAGAATCTACTACTGGAGCAAACATCACTTCCATGGAACATTAGAGTAGAAATCCTTAAGGAGCGAACACGAAGATGTGTTCAAACCACAATCAAGTTTATTGAAGACATAGGAAAAATCAATGAAATCTGAGAATCAGGAAATTGGCAAACCAGAACATGCACATCTGCAGCTGAATAAAATCAGAGAAAACTGGGTTGGTCATGTGACCAAGGCCAAAAAGAAAACCTATACCTAGCATTCGACAGGATTGCTGGATGCATATGCAAAAGATACAGTGATAAACCCATAAGTGTGGAGCAAAGCCAGAACTTTTCGATGCACAATAAGAGATCAAGGATAAGCAGATTATGAGACTTCCAATTAGGATTATCGGAAAAAGAAAACTTTCAATTAACAAATCCTGAATATGGTCATTTGGCACAATATAAAAGATACTTATAGCTGCAGACTTATCAATGATTGATGTAGCCTAACACAAATTTCTTGACTATAAGACCACTCCATTACAATCTCTTTTACATGTGCTTGGATGTTCTGCATAAGTAAAACTAAGCATGTTATTATCTGCATCATTACAGGTCAAATTCACAGGGATAAGACAAGCTTGTTAAGGTACTTGGCCATAATACATAGTAACATTAAAATCAACCATGAGTTCTCGAATTTTTTTAGGTGTGAGCAATAGGTACTTTAACAATTGAATGGGGCAAAGGAAGCTCTCTCTATCTTAAAGGGTCCTCCTATGAATGAGGCAGTACATCATAATGCAAAAGTGAGCATAAGCAGGAAAGACGAAAGATTGGCAAGGAGTCGCAACCTTTGGCCACTAGAGAGAGAGAATAATGATAAAACATACCTGGGAACAATCCCGAGAATGCATAGGTTGAAAAGAATGTATGTCAACTCCATTGAGAACAATCTGCTCCAGCTTCTAAAAAAACATTAAACCAAGAAGAGCATTAAGATTTGGTCCCAATAATCAATTCTAAATACCACACAAAGGATAATATGCCCATCCCTAATTAAACAACATAGGAGCAGAAAGGCCGGATTGGGTGCGACATTAATAATTCAAACATTATAGGAAGAACGGGGACACAGGTTGAAGAACTTCACGCCTAACAAAGTTGACTTCTATTGATGCCAAAGACCTTCATGCCAAAAAGATAATTTATATTACCGTGATAAAGATATCGACTTCAATGCTTAAAATCAGACAACAAAAGAACAGTTCAATGCACGAAGCATGAGAAGAGAGAGCGATCATAGGATCCATGAAGCAGAAGTGAGGCTCCTCAGCTAGGCAAAAGTAACGGAGTTAAATTTGGCTCAGACAATGATCAAATTCAGCTGACACGGCAAAATGAAGGGAATGTACCCAGATAATAATGCAATTGCTTGTTAATTGTACATCTAATCACAAGGACCGTTTATACTTAAGGAGAAGAGGGAAGAATGCCTTTGCAACTTCCGAATACTTTTACCCTTACCTTATTTATTCTCTCAAGGTCAACGCCCCTACGAATCATTCTGTCCCGGCGTTTAGCAGCAATCAATTCTTTGCGATGTTTCTTCTTTTCACCTGTGCATCAATTCTATTTGAATTTTAAAAAAAGCGCAAAAAACTAGAGAAACATTATCCTATGAAGCACCTTCAGACAATCTAAATTGTTCTTCATCCCCCAAGGAAAACATAATAATTGCTCATTGTTTCCCAAGACACATAGAAGGAGAACTCCATAAATTGAAAAGTAACAGTAAACATCTGAAAGAGAGGTGTCCTTGTGTGCCTCGCATGTGTTTCTTTCTTGGGAGGTCAAAAACATAAAGACCCCTCCAATCATGTCATCCAAACACATCGATCTCCTTAGTTCTCCATTTTAGTAATTAATACTTGAGACTTAACTATTAGTTCATGGATCAAATAGAAAAGCCAAGATTTATTATTAATTGATCGATATTTCGATTTACTTTCAAATCCCAATATACACTACTAAACTAGTTTTCCATTGAGCATGACATCTTTCTCATCCCCCCGCAGGAAGGGGCGGGCCGGGCCGGGCCAGGGAGGGAGAGAGAGTGAGTTAAGTTAATTAATGCATATACAAAGTTTACCAGGAAATCTTCTCGATCTTGTACTCTTCTGAGACTCCAATGACCGAGATAGAGGCACTCTTGCACCACGATTCTTCTTGGCTGAAAGAGTCCTCACATCTCTTACCAAGATAAAATCATCCGCAGCTGATGACCAATTATCTCTCACTGTCCCATGACCTTGATGTTTTGATTGAGGCTTCCTCTGCATACCATACTCCGTGGAAGCATCCTGGAGAGCAATTCCACCCAATTTTTTCAACGTTTCATCCAAATCGCTACTAGAAGAATCGTCTGAATCATCTGATGAATAAGAAACCTGCTGTAACAATAATTTTCCATCTAAAAGAGAATCACTCCCACCAATTCCTTCCAAATAATCTTGAGCAATGTCATCATCAACATCCGAACCACTATCAGACATATCCCCGGAGTCATCACTTTCAGAAGAATCTGTTGCTCCATCTTGCTCAGCCGACTCCGCCTCCGAGTCTTCCTCATCACTATATTCCGCAACATCATCCTCGCCATCTTCCTCATCAGATAAATCTTCTGTATATAATTTTAATCCCCCAATTGATACGAACCCAGAATTTTTCTTTGAAGATGTCTTCTTTGACAAAAGCTGAGCCCTCTTTTCAGGTGCTCCACAGTCAAAGTTCTCACAATCATCGTCTTCCTGTTCAGGCGATGACATAGGACTCTCTGACTCTTCTCGATTTTCCATTTTCCCTGAAGATGCTTCAATTCCAGTTGGAGCTGCATCGTTTTCATTAAAATAACCCAATCCTGTGTGTGGGCTATCACCCAGAACAAAATCTGAATGATACTCATAACTGACATTTGCTTGATCCATTGATGATGGCCCTTCGTCTACATAAGCAATAATTTGGTTCTCCTTCGAACCACACACAATGAAAGGCTGAGAAAAATCCAATTTATTCTCTCCATTTGTATCTCCAAAGGTCGACACTGGATGCAAACCATCCTGTTAAAAAATTCAACTAACCTAAATCAACACAAGTGAGAGACTGAGATCAAGGCCGATCCACAAGAAGTTTTCTCAAATTCAAGACAGCTACAAAGACAAAAAAACCATAGTCTAAGCATCAAGGGTACTAACCAAGACCAACTCTAAAAATTACTTTCTATTAGGTTCAAGGCTTCAGCTGTATTATGAGTCTTCATTTAGAGAACTCAACGGGTGTGAAATCCAAGAGACAGTAATGACTATTTTCAATGACTCATGAACTTTTCGCACGCAGGAGGGCGACTATCAGCACAAGATTCCAAACGAAACTGCGGATTCCCAAGAAAGCCGCCGACAACCTACAACGTGGAGCCTCAAAATCAAACAGATTTTTACCTCAAGGTCAAGCGACGGATACCGGTATCCGAAAGCATTCGACTTTGAACTTTGCGGCAAGCTTTTAGAACCGGAACCTCTACCTCGCCCGGAGCTTCCAGCTTTCGACGCATCCGAGTTTTGATTCGGTCCTACAAAATGGAAAACAAGCAGACCAAACACACACTCTTATGCTTAGATGAACACCCTTCTCACAGAATCAATCGAGATAACTGCATTTTCAGTCTCCATTCGAGCTCCATTTCCTCGGAACCCAAACCGGGATCCGATCAATCGTCATCCACCAGTCCCGACATTCATCAAAGAAAAAGCGCGAGCAGAAACCGAGAGAAATGGACCTCGCCGAGGGGCCGGTGACGGGGTCTTGAGCTGCCACTCCGACAAGACGCCGCCTTGGACGAAGCGGCCGGCCCTGATCGACGCCGGAGCGCTGAATCCTCCTCGTCCCCTTCTTCTTTCGTCCCTGCGGTCGGATTTGCCGTTGCTCCGATTGAAGTTGCCGCCGCCGCCGCCGCCGCCGCCGCCGCCGCCGTTGCTCCCGCCGCCGCCGCCGTTGCTGCTGCCGCCGCCGGTGTTCTTCCTCGAAGAATTCGATCTCCTCTTACCTCCGGCCATGGTCAAACTCGCAGTGAAGGGAAAGGAACGGAACGGAACTTCGACTGAACTTTCTGACCTAATTGATCGATCGAGCGATCGATTTGGGGGGTGATGACGAGCGGACCGTCGAAGGATCTCCTCTTCCTCCTCCTCCTGCTGCGTGTGGTTTCCTGCCTTGGTGGCTACGGTCGCATCTGGGCCGTTGGTGATCGCCGTGGGCCGCAAGGAGACGCGTGGACGGCTACGATGCGGTGCGGCCTCTTTCCTCTTTGTGGGGAATATGCGAAGAATCAATGCCCATCACCGGTCGCTCTTGCGTGGATCCGGATCCGGGTCAACGACCCTAAACAAATCATAGTATTGATTATCACATGATCCGGGTCCATGATCCTATACAAATCATAGTATTGATTATGTGATGCTCATATGATTAACGATCATGGTAAACTCGATCCATATGGACTTGAGTTCGGATACGAATTGAATTTGTCGCGATGGTCATTAAGTAGTCAGTATACCTATCAAACAAGTGGGTCGGATTGAAAATGGTCCGACCCAAACTGATCCATTTAATCCGTTTTAACCCATTTTCATGCAATACAAATTTGGTGACTCATAGCTAACCCGACCCGCCTGGCATGTCATATATTTAACTTAGAAAAATGTATAAGTAAAAGCCTCCTTCTTTGCCAACTTTAGTGGACATGTTCAGAGACAATAATATATGAACAAAAATATTTCGATAAACATGTATATGGGAGACAAAATAATAATTAAATAGAACATAATCACGCTAGTTGATCCAAACCGACAAAAATAGGTCCGGTTCGCGAGTTAGACCGGGATCGATGCACACCCCTACTTCAGGCTGCATCACAAAGGAGTAGAATTTAAAAAGCTTCTTTGAAAGGCTGAAATAGCAACTGAGGTATGTGATTTTGACTTGAGAATGGAAGAGCTGAAGGCAATTGATGAGAAAGTTCATAATTGGTTGTCCTAGACGCCTCCAGTGCAGTGTAACATTTCCTTGAATAATTGGTGTGAAAGCTTTAAGACATTGTAATATTGCTGCAGATACAAACTCATTCACTCTCTCCAGAACATTGTAGTCAAACAGATTGTAATCATCCCATGAATTGGTAAAACGCAATAATATTAAGCACACAATAATATGAATCTAGAGGGAAAATCGTAAAAAAAATTAATATAAGGGATAACCTGAACAATCGGCGAATTATCGTTGACTTCACAAATTCATTCCCTCTCTCTTCAGGACATTGTAGTCAAACAGATTGTAATAATCCTACGAATTGATAAAGCGTAATAATATTAAGGCACACAACAATACGAATAGAGAGGAAAAATCATAAAAAAAAAATTTGATAAAAGGGATAACCTGAACAATCAACGATTCATCGTTAACTTCACGATATAAATTATTGGGAGGTTCACAGTTCTCCGGAAATGCACCGGAAAATATCTACATCGGACTGAAAATTCTTAATGCAGATACTTGCCAATCCAAATAAGCTTTTTTTTTTTTTTTTTTTTTTGGTAAGGTAAGTATATATATAACTTTCTCAAACCAAATACAAGCTATAGCTCCAACCAATACTCGACCCTAATAGGACAGAACACTCTGGACAAGAAAAGGTCAACTTGTAGGAGCGGGTATCAAGTTCCCTCGTCAAGGAGGGAGATCATTGAGCCAAGAACGTGAGCCGAGATCGAAGAGAATCACGAAATTGGAGCATCGAAGCCCATGATTACACGTAAGTGTCTGGCTATCGCAATGCCGCTACGGAGTTGTGCCTTGCTCGAGCAATCGTCGTCCTCTTTGGAAAGAAAAGAAGAATGGGAAACAAGGGATTGAGAAACGCTCCACGAACGGGGAAGAAGGAAGGAAGGAAGAAGCAAGGTTTTATTATTTTTTTTTTAGGGTTTGTGATTTTTTACCCATTGGACAAAAAGGCCCCTATTCCAACTGCCGGTAATATCACATGCTCGCCAGACGGCGAACATTTGGCTGACCGGCAAGTTTATGCCCTTATTTGAGATTGTTTTAATCACTTCAGGCTCTTATTTGAAACAAGAACCGCTTTAAGCCTCTTTGGAAAAATTGGTAGGGGTGAGCATGGTCCAGGTTGGGCCGGTCTAGCATCTAACCCAAGGACCAACCTGCACAGTATTAGTCCCTAATTTTTGGGACTGAGAACCAACCCTAGTAAGCGAGGGGCCAAGGATTGGACCAACCCCATGGTTCTTGTCCGGTTCCAAGGTCAACCCGGGACCAACCGATTATTTTTTTGTTTCATTTTTTGTATTCCTTGAAAGGACAAACATACCATTTCAAATTACATAACCATCAACAATGCGATATTGAGCAACCAAATTATGAACACCAGTATATATCAAACATCAATATAACCATGAAAACGAGCACGTGAAATACAATTAAACCATAAGAAGGTCAAAATACGCAATATAAATCATGAATTATACAACTTCGCATCTTTTTTAAATTCTTAAATGATCGCTTAACTTTTGAACACATGAAAACAGAACAAACAATACACATAATTAATACTTAACAAAGTACGTTTATCCAGCTGAGCTACGCTCATGACGCGAGCGAAGAGAGGCCAAAGGCAAGTGAGGTGAGCGGCGAGGTGAGTGAACAGAGGCGAGCGAGGCAAGCAAAGAAAGGCGAGCGGCGAGCGAACAGAGCGAGGCGACCAAAGAGGGTTTCCATTTATTTTTTTTTTGGTTGAATTAGGGCTGGGTTTCTTTCTACTTTCTAAACTACATGGCAAATTGAACTTCATAAGAAAGAAGAGAACGGAGGAGGAAGTGCTAGGGTTTAGAGTAGACAAGCACATAACATATAGTATCTAATATATATTATATATATAGTATATACAGGGTTAGTACGCGTTGGATTAACCATAAACTCCCAGAACTGAGGACCAACCAGCACAATGCAGGGTCCGGGTCTCAGGACCAAAGACCGATCCAAACCCGTTGGGAACCGGACTAGGAATGGCCAAGTTGGGCAGGTCCAGGGTTGACCCTAGACCGATGCTCAGCCCTAAAAACATGGCTCCACTTTGAGCCCTTATTTAAATTCTACATTTATTATAATAAAGAGTGTTTCCCATGTTTTTTTTTTATATGAATTTGCTAGAAATTGGCCATCGGAGAAACTCTTTTATAGCTCCCCCTTATCATTCATGTCTATTCTATTCAAACGAGGCGTTCATTAACCCTTGCAACAAATACTTTTGTACCAATGATTTTGCAAACTACCAAATCACGTTATGTCTTTTCTAGCAAGTGAAGAAAAGTTTGTCTTTTACTAGTACCATTATTGTACAAAATATCTAAATTTTCTTGGCATTGTACCATAACATCTTTCGGCATACCATAATCATCGGTGACATCCATGTTTGTACCCCGTCGATCATAGTTAAGATTGAAGAAGTTAAAAGCTTTTCAACGTGAGTTCATATACATCACACGTGACAAAATTCTTCGAGAATTTGCCAAGAAAGTGCTAGCATGTGGCGAGCGAATCGATTTTCATTGTTGTCATCTACCAATTTGAAAATGTTAAAATGGACAGCCATGAAATGGAAAACCCTAATTTCCCTTCAAGAAATGGGAATCAACCGCGATGCCAGAAATATCCCTTAATCGAACCAAAAGATGTGTTGACACTCCAATGATATGGCTTTCACTTGCGAAACCTCCTAGGAAGATCTTGTTTCTAACTCCACTTCCATTGCTCTCCTAATGTTTTATGACTAATAATATATTCTTAAATTCTCCGAAATAGAAGCTACCAAGAGACCCCACAATTGATGCTCATGGTCTATGACCACCCCACAAGATACGGCCTCTCCAATGTTTTCTCCGCATAACGAGCTTTGACGACCAAAACCCGAATTCGTTCCCTTCTTCTTGGACTATTTATGAACAGCACGACCATTTCTTCAAAGGTGCCACCAATGCCCACAAAGGGTTTCAAGAACACATCTCGAGTGGTGGCGTTGGTGGTGCACTTTTCTTTAGGAAGGTGATAAAAAAAAAAACAAACAAAGATTGATTAAATGGCGGCGACCGGCGGTTCGGAGGGCTTGTTCCGCCCCCTCTACGAGGGGTGTCTCTCCGGGTGTGACGGCGGGATTGAGAGGAGGCCGTACCACCGCAACTGCAGCTGTGCGCTCCACAAGTCGCGCCAGAACTGCTCCCACGGGAACCTGAAGAGCATGAGCGTGTCGTACCCGATGCGAAAGTCGTGGAGCGAGGGCAACTTGGCGTTGATGGCCTCTGCACCCACATCTCCTTCTTCCTCGCCGGCGACGGCGCCGAGGAGTCGACTTGGCTCTTGCAATCAAGAGGTCTAGCGTTTCCTGTAAGTTTTGAGGGCTTGAATTTGTACCTCCTTTTCCTCTTGGTTTGTCTGAATAAGTCAGTGGTATCTTACCGAGACATGTGTGGATTAAGACTCTTGAAAATAACTTGATCGAAAGGGTGTGAGGTGTGAATGATGGGTGCGATGCCATTTTTTGGTCCAAGGCTCACGTAGATCATGTTCATGCAGTCCTTGATCGACTTAGATTGCCTGGAGAAAATGGCTGTCTTGTGTACTCAAACTTTTTATCTCTGGTTAATTCATATGTGGTGTGCTGGATGAACTTGTGTATAGAATCTAATCATTCGTTTTGAGTTACATGATGGAGCCAAGGACATTTGTATCTTCTTCCTTCCATTGGGTTGACTATAAACGATAGCATTTATCAGAAATTTCTTCCTAACCTAATAAATGTCTGTGCCATTTCAATATTTGGGTTCATCTTTCCATCCGAAGCAACCTCTCTTAGAAGCTGGATCACAAGGAAATGAGTCAGATGGCCTGTTTTTAACCGAATCGGGTGGACTTAATCAGGTGCGCCGAGCCGGCCCGGGATAGTATCTGACAGTTATTACAGAAAAAGAAGTCAATTTAAATACTTGTAGGAGTATTCCTTTTATGCTTATTTTACAAAAAAAAAAGACTAGCGATGGTGTTGCTTGCAATTAAGTACAAATGAAGACAGCCGAGTGTTAGAAAAATGCAAAGATTGATTAGATATTTGGT